TCCCGAATATTCAAAACTTTACCGCTTCGATTATCGAAGGAGCGGGCCATGGTCAGAATGTGCATTTCAGCGCTCCACAGCTGTACGAGGCGATCGGGGAGTGGATCCAGGAGAACGTGGCGTCATCGTAAGGATGGACTTCCTTCATACTTATCGGACTGTATGTTGTTTTACTACTACATGTTTAACCTGGACCTTTTTTTCTTGAATGATTCAGGAGTCCTCGGCATTCAGCGGCGGAGTCTCAAAGTCATCCATCAAACAGTTCCGAGTTTGGTGACTTGCTTTGTATTGTCATTTCCGCCCAAGATGCCGTACATATCGACTATCCGTAGGTGGCACATCAATCTCCTTACGGGCGTTCCGCCCTCGCCGCGAACGAACCTGCGAGTCCTTGTACCGCATTCGTCCAACCCTTAAAGGCGCTGTTCTTCTCTTCCACGCCAACAAGACGCCTTCGATGGGTCCTATCGCCTGCTTCGGTGTCGCTGTCCTCCTGTACATCTCGTACCGTATCGTGACTCCGAAGTCATACCCACGCCCTCCCGGTCCGAAGGGTCTCCCAGTACTCGGCAATCTGCTCGATATGCCTACAGAAAAACATTGGCTCAAGTTCACGGAATGGGCGCAGGAATTCGGCGATGTCGTGTACTTGAACATTCCCGGGACGCCGATTGTTATCTTGAATTCCCTGAAAGCGACGAACGAGCTTATGGAGAAGCGGTCTGCCAATTATTCTGATAGGCCGTGTGAGCTTCTGCTTAAAACTTTACTTCTTGCTGAGATTGACCCGATGCCAAAGACAGCCATATGATCAACGATCTCATGGGATGGGAGTTTGATCTCGTGTTTTTGGGGTACTCTGAGCGTTGGAGGTGAGTCGCACTACGCGATTCTTTGGATGTTTGGCAGTTGCTCACTCGTCCCTATAGAAAGTACCGTCGCTTGTTTCACGAATCATTCAACCAACATGCCGTCGACGCGTACTATCCCGTACAGATCGCTGCCACCAATCTCTTTCTAAAGAACCTCATGGATTCCCCGCAAGATCACATGAACCATGTTCAGCAGTACGCGTCTTTTACATCTGGATAATGCGGATAACTCACCCTACTGGGCAGACTCTCCGGGTCTATCATACTACGGATTGTCTATGGCTACGACGTGACAGTCAAGCACGACGACTATCTTGCGTTGGCGGAAGAAGCTATGCGTCAAATCATCGAAACCTCTACACCAGGGAAATACCTGGTCGAATTGATGCCCTTCCTTAAACATTTACCGGGTACGGATCCTGACGCCTCTTCATCACGCTCCAATGACTGACTTCGCGTTCAGATTGGGTCCCGGGAACGGGTTTCAAGCGACAAGCTGCGTTGTATAGAAAGACTGCAGAGGCACTTATCGAGACGCCTTACCAGAAAATTGCACCCAATCTCGTGAGTAAATCGAACGCGTTCTTATCAGCTAACTTGTTGACGATGCTGCAGGAAAACGGAACAGCACTTCCATGCTTCGTGACGCAACACATGGTCAATATGCAGGAAGGGGACACGACACACGACCTACAGACGATCAAGAACTGTGCCGCTGTAATGTTCATCGCGGGCGCGGACACTGTAAGCTTTTCCCCAACATAATACTAGAAGTCGCTCATGTCTTCATCTTCTTAGACGTACGCGGTATAACCTCGTTCATGCTCTGCGCTGTAATCCATCCGGAATTCAAGCTAAAGCGCAGGCAGAGATCGATGCGGTTGTGGGCAAGAATCGACTACCGAACTTCGAAGATCGTCCGCATCTTCCGTATGTGGAGGCCATCCTACTGGAGACGTTGAGATGGAACCCTGCTTTGCCGATGGGTGTGTTCTAGCGCCAATGGATAAACGCCTTCTAACCTTTGCAGGCTTCATGCATCGCAGTAGGGATGAGGACGTTTACAATGGGCACTATATACCAGCGAGTGAGTAAAATAAAGGCACGATTGGCGAAGCTACTAAGTGTTCATTCAGAAAGTCTCATCATTGGAAACGTCTGGTTAGTCTGTGACATGCGATGCCCAGTTTACGCTGACACTTTCCATGTGAAGGGCAATATTTCGCAACGAACAGGACTATCCCGAACCCGACCGTTTCAAACCCGAGAGGTTCATAAAGACAGACGGAAAAGACTTACCTCCCAACCCAGCGGAGGTCGCAACTTTCGGATTTGGTCGCCGGTAAGCAAGCTCTTTGGATCCCCCGTCATCCACCTGATGCCATTCCTAGGGCATGCCCCGGTCGGTACCTCGCACTGAACAGCGCATGGCTCGCTATTGCTTCCATGTTAGCAGCGTTCTCGCTCGCTCCAGCCCAAGACGAGCATGGCAGAGACATTGTGCCGGAGCCACGTTACACGGATGGACATATCAGGTGCGTCGGTTCATGTCTAGTCTTTGAGATCATGGCTCATTTGAAGGAACAGATATCCAGAACCATTTGAGTGCGTGATCAAGCCGCGGTCGGAGGATGCTGCGAGGTTGGTGGCTGTCGCTGCTGGGAACGTCACTGGACAAGTTTAATCCCCTGGGGCTATATACTCTCCGTATATATTTGTTCACGGCCACTCTTCATCTGATACAACAATCGTACAGATACTAATGAAATGTAAGTTAAAAGTACAACAGTTCCCCGAAATCCCTTCTAGTATACAGAGTCCGATAAGAAGCCACCCGCCGCTGATGAAGGTCGAAGCACGGTGAGTGCAATAGATATGGTGCTCTAATCCAGCTAGGCGATGATGCGCCCTCCGCCTCTCTCTCTCTCTCTCTCTCTCTTCTCTCTGTAATGGGCCGACTTGAAGTCGGCATTGCGAATATATGACGCATCAGTGCGTATTGATAGATGCCTGCGAATAGTGAGTCGACGTCGCGGTTTATTTGAACGCGAGAACTCACGAAATGATGGGTAGATAGAGAGTTCATGCGATGACGCATGCGCTACTGTCGGTTGCCTCTTCGACGGGTACGAGATCGTCGAGGTGTTCCTCGGTCTCAGCGCGCACGTCTACGACAGCCGATGTGGAGATGGTGTATTCAAAGCTATCCATGACGAATGAAAGGGTAGGTAGGTGTCGCGGGGTGGAGGAGTGGTATCGCTGGGGGCTTGTTGCTCTCCCTCTCAGTGTCTTAGCCTTTTTATCCCCTCACCCACTCTCCGCCTCTTATTGTCCAATCCTCATTCGGAGATGGGCGCTCCGGATTAGGAAAGTGTTTCGGTGAGCGAAAGACAATAAGAGGTGTAGTGCCGCGTAACGCCTGGAAGGCCATAACAATAAGACGCGCCGGGTTTAGGACATTGTAACTGAATGCAGATGGACAGTGGCGGGAGGCCACAGGAATGTAAACGCAAACCCGGATGGTTATATCAGGCACGTCCTCGTCTTCAAGTCGGTCCCACGCGAACGGTTCACGACTTTGAAGCGTAGGTAGATATCTACTCTCCTCCTTGGATCCAGCAACAAAATTGGGTGAGAGTTGGTCAAAAAAGCAAAGAGCCTTAAAGCATCTCGCTCTTGTCGGTCTGTCGGTCCATTTCTTCGGAACATGTCAACGCAGCATGTCTTCACCTTATTGTTAGCGTTGAGGGCATCCACCGGTAATCATTATCCCCCGTATTTCGGATGCTATAGTAAACATCTCTTATTGTTTTCTGGCGAGCTGGGTAGCCAGTTAGCAAGTAGAGTTTTGTTCCTGTGGATAGGAATAGAGCAAAGGTGACAGTCTTTATCATGCCCGACGCGACTTTTTTGTGGTTATGCTTGACAATTGAGAGTGTGTCCGCACGCGGAGTCCGTGATATTTTCTTACTCGGCTTCACATGGCGAGGAGCGAAAGACGCGTCTGATTACGAGCGTGTGACTGGTGAAGTGAGTGGAGCTCAGAGACTAGAACGCTGTGAAGGTCGGAAACAAGTCGGAAGGACATCGGGATATCATGTGACTGAGCTCGGCATAGCTTTTGAAATCTTTCTTTGCTTCCTCGCTTCATCGTGGTGCAGTAGTCTATTGGATTCTTCGCCTCAATTGCGTTGGGCCTGCGTTTTTTTTGGTTCGACTGTGGAATGCTCCGTTTTGCCAGCTTTTGCGCAGGAGCTCTACGAGAATTATCCAAACTGTTCTCTTTCGTTGCTAGTAAGGCGTGGGTCGGTCAGCCCGCACTTGCAATTGTGATCCCATGAAGCCTTTTTTTCATTACTTTGACGCGTCAAAGCGTCTGGTGTGGCTGGCTTGCGATGTGCCAATGTCGAACTTGATCAGGTGTGGAGGAATTGTTTACATTACAGAGCCGTGGTTACATATGAATGTCCGTGTTCTTCTCGACTGCGTCGTCAACGATTACGACTTGTCCTTCACCGGAAACTCCTTGCCCGTCGTGCTCTTATACCCGCGCCTAATCGCATCCGATATCTGCTCATCCTTGGCCTGCTCCACCGCCGACTCGTTATTCTGCGGGCCCTTGTGGAAGATGTGTTCCTGGACGTAGTCAACGCCTTTGTCCAGCGCATCTATAGACATCGTTAATAAGCACGCGATGACAAGACGCGATACGTACCTTCGTTGTGCTCGCCCTTCTGCCCTCCGCCCATGGAGTTGTTAATCTTGCCCATGAGCCCGCCACCGCCGCCGCTGCTGGATGTGGTATTGGTGTTGGTAGCAGCGGTGTTATGAGAAGCGCTGCCGCCCTGTGCTTTGTTCATCTGGTCTTTGATAAAATCCATGGCGGGTGTGTTTAGATGTGGGTAGGTAGGTTGCGATGCGACTTTGGAAGACTATATAGCAGTGGCACGCGTCATAGGCGTAGTCGTGCGTCATTGGTGTCAGTCAGGGCGCCTTGGGAATGAATTGGTCGCGGTGGCGGTAGCATCGTCATGCCAAGTCCAACTCGTCCCCAGACCGACACAGTAAAGATTATCCCATATGGGAGCACCACGAGTCGGTGATGGAAGTCTGGAAGCGGAGATATCGGATATGGTGTAACGGCTAACATTAGCGCCTCTCATGATGCCTGAACGAAGCAGTTCGCGCTATCTCGGGGTTCGATTCCCCGTATCCAAAATTGAAAGGTAGTCAAAGTTTTGGGCTGAGTTTTTTCTTGTGTGTTCATGAACGAAATTGTCCTTATCTTCATGTACAGATGCGGGACCATAAACGCCGCAAGTACCTGGTGGTCAGACAATGGTTGGATCGATCCTCCTCTACCCGTCGTACACAAGTAGGCAAACAGGCGGCCTCCGAGTCCCTATCCTGGCGGAGGATATCACTCTTCAAGCAGTAGACTTTTCTTGTGGTGCAATACCAGAGAGGCAGAGTCATCTTGCCCTTTCTATCTTTGCATCTTAATGAACATCGGATATGGCGGAAAGGCTACCACCCCTCATATATCTTGAACACAGATCACTGTGATACGCGCCACTAGCCTGGGGTTCGAGTCCCCATATCCAAATTAGTCGTTGAGGAACTCCTGAACGCTTTTGTCAGGCCATATAATGGACTGGGTAAGAGGTATATGGCAGTTCAAAACCAACATTCAATGCGGTATGTTTAATGAACTGATGCGGTTCAAGAACCGCGATACCACCTTCATGTGTTCTGCAAGAATACGACTCAAAGTGTGATGTTTGTTGAGGCGGGCATGATGTCTTCCAGTGCCCTCGACTATCAAGGTGGTGCCTCCAAGCGGGTGAGCGTATCCATGACCTGCTGAATGTAATCTGCAATGCCCGGAATGCAGTCTCTGCATCATCTGAGGCTGCGGCTGCTGTTCTCCTCGACAAATCGATCCCTTCTGGCTCCGTGGCAACGAGCACTCACGTCTCGGATATGGTGTAAAGGCTAACTTTGCGCCTCTCATCTCTCGAGTTCCCTTCCTCATTCACGCGCTAGCTCGGGGTTCGATTCCTCGTATCCGAATTGCAATGCATATTTCTATTTGTTTTGATTGAATTCACGAACCGTTGGCTGCTGCCCGTCCTCCCACCTACTTTTGCTCATTCCACCAGTCACTTTCATCCTCACTCGTTCGCCGCCCGCGCCAACCCCCACTTCTCTCAAACCGCACTGTGGAATGCCGCCCACCTTTAGTATGTACACCCGCCTCCGGTAGTAAGTACCCTCATGATTCTTTCGTGTCGTCAGCACCATATCAGAGGACCTGACTTTCACCATCCGCGCGATGCACTATGAACGTAATCGGCAATGCTCAGGATACTCTCTTGCATCATCTGATACTTTGAATGCCGCTCTCCTCGACGAAGTCATCATTTCTTCCCGCTCATAGGCTCTGCACCGTGCACGCAGCTGGAAAGCTTGATAAAAATCTTGTCTCAAGCGCCGTAGTTATTGGATATGGTGTAACGGCTACCATTAGCGCCTCGCGTGCCCCGTAACGCCTTTCAACCTGTAGTACTGAAGCATCTCGAACCGACTCCATTGCCGGGATCCTCCGACGGGATGGGTGCCTGCTACGGGTGAAGAAGATCATTCAGGTGGCCCGTCTTTATCCAGTCCAGTATCTCTCACAAGATGTGTTATTTGGGCTCTAATGACTCCCGCTGTATATTCCCAGTCAAATGGCAAAGAAAAAAATCAACACCATAAAGATTCGGATACGGGGAATCGAACCCCGAGCTAGCGCGTAAGCATCGACCAGTTGGAATGAGAGGCGCTAATGTTAGCCGTTACACCATATCCGATGCGGTCTTCCCTTCGAAGCGGCATCAGCCCCAAAAATGGAGACCGCACATTCAGGAAAGACAACCATAACATAAGAGTAAGCCAAGCAATCCATACGTGAAAGCAGAAAAACAGACTAAAGAAGCGAATAGATAATGCTGGTACTCATACAGTGCAATGCGAGTGTGCGATAAAGTTTTACAGATAGAAGGAATGCAGTGGGATAGATATATCACGACGTCCGTGCAAAAGACAAAACGTAGATAACCGGCCGTAGAGGTAGAGTGATGAGCGACGCAATCGTCTTGACGAGCGAAGGCGGCGGCGGAGGCGGCAGTACCGTCGGTGCTTCCTCTGGAATAGTATCCAAACGCTCCGCTGACGACGAAAAGGAATGTAACGAATATTTAGGCGATGCTGAGGGCGGGTACTTGACGCGTCTCTGAGAAGGAAAAATGAATTCCAAAAGCCAAGGCTTGCTGCCCGTCTCCAGGTGCATCGGCATGCGCTTGACCTTGCCCCTCAACGCCTCCACCGCCATCTCCAGATCGCGGGTACGACCATCAGACTTTTCACATCTCCGTTCGTGCCGGCGTTGATTCTTTTCTACACCATCAATGGCCTCGTCGACGTACTCGAATACCTCCTCGTTGGCCTCTCTTAGACGCCGCTCAAACATCGCAATGCGCTCTTCTAGGCGTTCAAACTTGTCTGGGACTTCGCGGTTGGTCGGAGGATAATGAATGACATCATGAAGGGTCTCGACGCGTTGGGAGAGACGGTCGAGGATGTGTGTCCAGGGCCTGATACCAGTGGCGAGCACGAACAGACTGGTGGAAAACCACGAGAGGATATCTCTCCCGGACACGAGAATGAGGATATAGCGGAGGAGATATGCCCCAGCGAAAGGGGCAGCAGAGGAGAGGGCGAGTAAGAACAACTCTATGCGCTGTAGCTCGGTCTGCGCGAGGAGAGCTTGAGGGGATGAAGGAGGAGGGGAGGCAGTGTGAGGGTGCTGTCGCATACGGGCAGCGTGGTACATGTTCCATGGCACTAAGATGTGTGTCAGACATGGTCATCATTGTATGGCCCAACACACGCACCTTCAATGATTTGGTGCAGATAAAAGAGAAGGAAAAGGATGTAAAGCAGGTTCTTGATGAGGTCTCCACCGGTCAAGAGATTGCCTACAGGAGACACCAGTGCAACCACGACCGCAAAGTCGAATTGGTACCATGCACGGCTAGGAGACTTGGGTGTGTCCAAGCGCGGCGGCGGGGCATGGGGAGGCGACGTAGGTGCTGTTGCCGTCGAGTGGTCCTCGCTCGTCTCCGAGGGCGTCTCATAGTCCATCTCGGTTAGCGACGGTTCTTGCTCCTCCGACATGGTGTGGGACGACCGGGCAGAAAAGTCGGAATGTGCACGCTCCAGAACGTGCATTCGTCGACGCAGAGAACCGTCGGAGCCCATCGAGCCAGGCGGAAACGTGGTGGATGCAGAGAGAAAGCAAGCAAGCCCCCATCGTGTGAGACGCTGAGCACGCGACTCGGCAACACCCGATCTCCTTCTCGATCACCCAGCGATCACCTGTCGATTCTCGCATTCAGATTGTCTGGCCGCTCATATACCGTCGTCAGGATCATGATGATTCATTGCAGTGCGGTTTAATGCCCTTCACCGGAATTGGTGCAACGGCTAACATTTGCGCCTCTCATGGGTAAGCAAAGCGGTTAGTTCGCGCTAGCTCGGAGTTCGATTCCCCGTTTCCGAATGTCGAAGAAAGTCAGGTTTTTGTCTAAGACTCCTTTCATATCGCAGAAATCTCTAGTCCGTATCAGTCAACCGTCGAATGCACAATAGACACACCTCTTGGAGAGTACACGATTTTTTACTGCTTTAATCCGCCTATGGTTAACTCTCAATTCAACTAGTCCTCAGTGCTCTCATGTGTTTCAGGCCTTACTCGCAGTCCTTATTGAGTATGCGAGAAGAATGATATCGTAAGCCCGCTATCATGATTTTCAGTGTGTCGCTTGGGTTGATTTGTTGATTTACAGCACTACTGTAAATCAACGTCCGCGGGGATGTTGGCAGAGTGGACTCGACACCTCCCCATATGCTTCAAGTGAGGTCTTTTTGCTGGTTCAAAGGTGCTCTTGATCGCACAACAACGTCTCGACTGGAAACCTCTCCTCACCTCAGGTCTACAACTTGACGAGTCGCCCAATTGAACGGTCGTCCTAGTTCAATCTCGAAATTTGACCTCAAGAATGATGTACACCTACGCATCCACACCCCCTTGCTATACCTCTCACGCTGGTAGCTGGAGTGTACATTTTGGGCTCTGGCGCCACACTGCACTCTGACACAACTCCCTGACGAGGCTGCCGTGGTCTGATTTAAAGCGAGCCAACATTGTCACAGTGTGGCATGCAAGTCTTTTGGCATTTTGACTTCTTCAACCGTCTATGCTGTATCTTGCGCATTCGGGGAGATATCTTCTCAATACATTTCATCGGATGTGGTGTAAAGGCTAACATTAGCGCCGCACATTATTCTAGTCCGTCATAGAGTACTGCGCGCTAGCTCGGGGTTCGAATCCCCGCATCTGTACTCTGCCTGTATGAGCTGTCAATTTTTTAACAATTGCAAGGCTGTCGCCCATCATCAGGTTTTTTTTGGACCCCTGGCTTCATTCAACTACGGTCCACTATACCCACATGCATGTTGGCTGCACAATCATGAGCCCAGCCCTGTGCGGCCTTGAATGGATGAATTCAGTTGGTTACGAGGCATGTAGGAGTTGAGGCGACGATTGCAAGCTGAAATGAAAACTCCGTTATATTTGGTGTGATGCCCCGTCCGGCAGTATTTCCTAAATTGGGGAACGTACCTGGCCTTTTGGCTTTCTACCACGACGAGCCAGCAGTCCAGCGCAGCTGTTACCAACGCAACATATTCTTTCAAGGCGCCATTGCGCATCACAATCGACGAGTGTCGCTCGCGTTGCTCAGACCGCACACGCCATTTTTTTTTCACATGACGTCCAGAATTTAGTCAGGTAACGAAATTGCTCACTTGACGCGTATGCTTCTTCACCCACGCCCTACGGCCCGTAGACTCGCAACGCCCTTTAACTTGTCACAGGAGCAGCCTTCTCTTCTAGCGGTCACGAGATGCGTCGCGGTTGTCGCGAAAGTGAATATTATAATGCTACGAGGCATGTACGCTCTGCTCGTATTCTCCCTTTGCTTCGCTGACCGAATTTCCTACAGCGATGTCGACTTGTTCTCCGAGTATCTGGTCAGTCGTGGGCTGGTTATTTGAGTGATTTACTCGCGCTCCGGTGTCTAGTACTTACTTGCGCCGTGGTGTACGTAGTGAGTGTCTTCCCTTTTCAAGAATATTGACACTGATAAGACTTTCACAGGATATACTTAATTCATTGACAGCATGCGTACATTGCATAGAGACACGGGCAGAACCAGTACAACTGAGTACGTACGGTCATGGTTTCGAGCGATGAGCTCTCCTTCGTCCTGGTGTCGTGCGACGAACCAAACCTTATGCTGATCGTACATAGATTCCCCGATAAAGTACGTGGCGTCTTCAATGAAGGAGGTCTTTTCGGTGAGCGCAGTGGGTGGCATCTTCCTGGACTCGATACATCTGCATGGGAGAGCAGAGAATTGAGCGATGGGCTGCCCGGGTCGGCTGCAGGCGTTGGGTTCTTCGTGACTACGTTCGACTTGGATGGCGAACCTTGGGTAAGTGTTTGCCTTGGGATGTTTCTTTGAGGGTTGAGATGACGGTTTGATAGGCCTCAAGCAAAGTTTCCGGTTCAAGAAGGGATTCTGGATTGCAGTGGCACAAAGTTCGTTGGTTCATCATCCTTTGTCCGCGGCAGTGTGTTGATGTTTGTCTGTAGTACTGTAGCGGTTGCGCTTTGGGCTATGGAGGAGAACGTTACTATATCGCCTAACCTCCAACAGGTGGTTGACGGAGTGTAGGAAGGGGGTGTAGGGAACGTTGTGACGAAGATTCCTGTGGATGGGCGTGTTGTGGCCTGATCACAAAGAGTACATTTCAAAGGCCCGTTTCAATGCATGGACGATCATCTTGAGAGTCGGTTCTACTATCTTCTGCCTTGTCATACCTGTCCAGTCGGTAATTGACATATTCAGTGAGTGCTCCTGGGCCAGAACGTATAATGAATTTGGAAGTAGCAAGGAAGCTAAAGAGCTAGTAGCGCTATACTATACAAGCTTGCCCTTGTACACTGTCGGATGTGATGTAACAGCTAACATTAGCGCCTCTCACAGCGTTGTCGCGGTAGCTTAGGGTTCGAGTCACTGTATCCGAATGTGTTCGATCCAGGAGGACCTTTTTACATCAAGATCACTTTACTGCGCCACACTCCCCAACTTCATAGTACATACGATTATCCGGATTCAATTCCGTCAAGTCCACGTTCCTTTGTTTCTACCGTTTACCTTTGACCGCCTAGTCAGATGGACCTAACTTTACACGGAGATTCTTCTCTGGGACACACGGTTCTTATCGTTGCACTGCCCTAGCATGTGCTGATGTAGAAAGTTATAGAGAGCGGCATTCAGTAGCACATAGAACTGCCTTAGCATCCAGAAACCAAACCAAACCATTGCATTGCGATCCATGAGCTAAGATGTAGAGAACGATGAAAGAAAAGTATGCGACAACAAAAAAAGAGACGTGACTGCAAAAACGTAAACGTAAAAAGCACCCCATCACGGATGCGCGCCATCCCAACTCGCCCGCTTCCGCTTATTCGTATCACTCCTCATCAGATCCTGCGGGTTCACCACCGCGCTCTGCCCCCTCTGATGATGCCGCTCCCTGCCCACGCCCGGCTTCGTCCCGGGCACTGCACTCCCACCCACACCTCGCCCTTGCCCAGCTAGATCCAGCGCTTGCCCTCCCCGATCCACGCCCTCGCCCATCTCCATCCCAGCAGCCATCATATTCATGCCATAATAATGCAGATCCAAAAATGGCAGAGTCGGATCTGCGCCATCAGCAGTCGGGCTCGCAGTCGACGTCAGAAACAGCGAGCTAAAACTCTGCGAAAAGCTCGGCGGCGCGTACGCACTATACCCACGGATATCTGGCTGCGAATTCGCATGCATTTGCCCGGGACGACTACTGCCAGCCACGGGAGGTATCATCCGCTCAGCAGGAGGCACCGATATCGAGCGTCCGTGTAAACTCTGCATGCGTCGTGGTCGCGTCTGTGGCGTCGCAGGCGGCGTACTGTGCAGCTCGTGCGACAGATCTACTAGGTCGTCCAAATTGAAGCGCTGCTGCTCGAGCAAAAACGACGCCTCGCCATCCCCCTCTTGCCCGTTGTCCTTCTCCTGCTGATCGCTAATGGTGATCCCCGTAAGTTCAATTTCATCGATCCCCGGCAGCGCAGGCGTATGCATGCCAAACGATTCAAAGTCAAAGGCCGACTGTTGGCTCTGCGTTCGCGTGCCAAAAATGAGATCTCCTGCATAATCAGAATGATACTCGCGCCGCGGAGGATAGATCTCGTCGCTGAACCCAGACGAGCCCACCTCGCTATTGAAATCCTGCGGGAAAGAGCTCGGCACAAGGTCATAGCGGTCGACGACTCCATGGCTCAGCTGATTGAAAGAGAATGGTGAGGATGGCGAAAAGCCACTGTCGGCAAAGGACGACGAGCCGCTCGAATCCAGTCGAGGGTTGGGAGAGAACCAGTCAGAGGTACCCCACGCGCTCTTGCCAATCATGCCCATGCCACCAATTACGGCGGTACTATCGTTCCGAGATGGCGACGAGGTCATCATGAAATCCGACATATTGGTCGAGGATGTGGGAGATCCTGTCCACGCGTGATGCGACGAGTGTACGGGCGTGTCTACGCCAGAAGACCAGGTCTGACTCTGTGCGTCAACCTCTGACTGCGACGAGCTCAGTGACATGGACACTGGGTCAAAGGGAATAAGGTCCATTTCGTCGTCGTCGCCAAAGATGCTGTTAGAAAATGGTACTGTCGAAGCTGGCCGTGGTCTTCGCTCGGTACTCGGACCTGCGCCCTCGTCGTCAGACGCCTCATCATCTGATGGGTTCGCGCTTTGCGGTACGCTCTTGGTTCCGCCGCGCAACAGGCCTTGACTCGTGTAGCGCCGTTTCTTGCGTTGCTGCTGGGCCATACCCGTCGGTATCTGGTCGTCCGTCGCAGCACGCACCACGGACTTTACCTTCTTGGCGCCACCACGAGGCTTATAGCCAGCGGCGGTGTACAAATCCGGAAACGCGTTACGGAAGCGGTCTCGCAGATCCGTTGAACGCCGTCCTTGCTCCTGGAAGATGGGGTCTTTTACAATCGTCGCCCAGAGGGTGCCGTGCTTGTCGTACCCGGCCTTGAGAGCGCGGTCCTCCTCCTCGGTGAATGGCCGTCGTTTCTTGGAGCGCGTCTTCTCAAACAGCGAAGTCCCGTCGGGCAGCGTCGAGCGCACTTTGTTGGAGAGATGGGTGCGAGCATTGGGATAATGCTGCTTGTATGCGTCCGGGTAGTATGTACGGAATCTAACACGCGTGCGTGTGAGCCAGTTTCCACCTAGCACGTAAATACATACCTGTCCTTCAAGTCCACCGGGGAACGATTGTCAAACTGGAATTCTGGGTCGCTGAGGATTGTCTTCCAGTTGCCCACACCGTGCTATGTCCGTTAGCTGGCGAAATAAAATATACTAGAAACACACCTTGTTGCACCCGTCAACAAGCATCTTGGTTTCTTCCGGTGACCACTTCTTGCGCGCCTTCTTCTCCGCGAGCAGCGACGACGACCCGTCATCTCCGCCGCCGTCGCCGTCATGTATCATCCTAAACTTGCCGCGCTTGTCATCACCGCCCAGCGCCGTGCTCGTCTCTGCAACATGCGACTCCAGTCCTGTGTCGTCCCGAAAATTGAATGCTGGCACCACCCGTGGCGAATTGGGCAGCGCGAGCGAAACCCGTCGATGCTTAAGCGGTATGGCAGGGAAGGGCGCCTTGAAAGAGAATGTGGACGTCGGTAGGGGAGGGGCGCTCGGACCACTGGAGGGCAGCGCAGACGTGGACGCCGGCTCAGACGCCATCGTCGTCGTCGTGGTAGAAAGCCAAGAGCGAAAGTGGAATGCACGTTGCCGCCAGGGGCTTTCCGAATTAGGTCAGATTCCCGCGCCGACGCGTCCCCTCTCCACAAAACTCAGGCGTGGATGCTCAAGAGTTCTGCTCGACCTGGCCTTTCATTTCATGTAATCTACCCCGCAACAAGCATGTCATCTCCGAATAGGCAGTACTCGCCTCGTATCTAACGGAATTTGAATCGCCCGTTCGCCTCGAGGAGAGCGTCTGTCGCCTACACGAGGTCCTGCACAGTGCATAGCGTTAGATGAAATTCTCAGCATGGCCTTATTGGAGCATGCGCGTGTGGTGCGGCAACATACCGTGGCATAACAAAAAAGCCTCAGAAATTAGTAATGATATGCGCTGGTGGGAAGCAAAGCTCCGGATTTCGACTATCAGGCCCACCTGTTGAAGGTGAATGTCGTTTATTTGTAACGTATGAGGTTGGGAAGTGTGGCGCATTGAAGTGGATCTCATATAAAAAGAACCACCTGCATGATCGATACATATTCGGATACGGGGAATCGAACCCCGAGCTAGCGCGAACCCTATTAATTACCGGTAATGAGAGGCACTAATGTTAGCCGTTACACCATATCCGATGTCTTGAGATTCCAGAGTCTGCCATTTCAGCCTTACGACGAGCGACTCTCTGCGATCAGCTGCACGCTCCAGAAGAGTGTATCGAAATGATGCTAGTTGATACTCTTCGTAATTACGACACAACACGCTGATCCACACTCCATCCCGGATTATTCGTCGAAATGTTCCCTACACCCCCTTCATACACTGCGTCAACGACAAGTTGGAGGTTAGGCGATATAGTAACGTTCTCCTCCATAGCCCAAAGCGCAACCGCTACAGTACTACAGGCAAATATCAACACACTGCCGCAGGCAAAGAATGATAAACCAACGAACTTTGTGCCCCTGTAATCCAAAATCCCTTCTTGAACCGGAAACTTCGCTTGAGGCCTATCAAACCGTCATCTCAACCCTTAAGGGAAGCATCCCAAGCCAATCACTTACCCAAGATTCGCCACCCGCTTTCCCATCATCCACCCATTCACGAACAGATACACCCTATACGGCTGCCCTAGCCCCTCCGTGAACGTAAACGAAATCGGTACATCCAATCCCGAAGGAATATCCAAGTCGAACGTAGTCACGAAGAACCCAACGCCTGCAGCCGACCCAGGCAGCCCATCGCTCAATTCTCTGCTCTCCCATACAGACGTATCGAATCCCGGAAGGTGCCACCCACTACGCTCACCGAAAAGACCTCCTTCATTGAAGACGCCACGTACTTTATCGGGAAATCTACGTACTATTAGTAGCAGGTTTGGTGTGTCGCGAAGAAGAGGAAGTACCCTGTGTAACCGCCAACTTTTCCTTGCACTTTCCAGTCTGAAAAGTTTCCCACGTCTAGTTTGAATCCACGAACACCTCGAGGGTTCTTGGACGCGTTGGTGTTTCCTATAGCAGTTGAGCATCTTACATGGGTGTCATATCAGATGGTACTGACCTCCGCTCGTTTCGTTCAGACCCATGTTGTCCTAACGAAGAACAAAGATGTAGGGGCGTTCGCAACTCGCACTGGTCAGGCTTCGTACCTGTACAATGGTGATCACATTGTCGCCGTCCACCAGAGCCCCATCAGGGAAAGTAAATAGATCATCTGTCTCTTCAAGCTTGTTCTGATTGTTCGTTGAGCTACCACAATTCGTGAGTGCCGGTATTAGAAAGATAGTAGTAAGGGGTACGCTTACTTCCCATAGGACGTGTTTAGGAACACATCGTTGAGCCAGACACTCGCGGCGAACGCTAGAAGTGGTTGAGATTATTGCTCTCACAGTATAACGTCGTAATGACACACCTTCACCGCCATTGATAGACAAATTGACGCTCTTCTCTACACCAGTCGCATTAAAGTGACCGCGCCAAAGGACGATGTTCTCGCAGCTACACATCCCCGTCAGTCTACCATGAACCCTGCAAGGAGGTAAGAAACTCACAACCCATAATCACACCCATAAAGAATCCTCCCATCCCCATAAAACGGTTTCTGCGGTATATTCGTCGTCGTATGATTAGCCAGCACCCAATCCCCATCATCGAACCCACTCCCAATCTCCGGAAGACTGTCCTTAAACTTCCACCCTTCCAATACCGGCACGCTGACCTCCGTTCCCGCAAACGGAAGCTCCGCCACGAAACCGCCTTTCCCTGTCAACCCGTTCCTCGTCGTCAATTCGACGCCATTCCACGTTATAGTTTCTACAGAGCTGGGAGCGACGATCGTTGCCGTAGTGGAACTATTGAGGTCACCCGTTAACGCCAAGGTAGAGCCATCAAGGATATTCGCGGTGCGCACGAGATACGGGCCCCCGACGAGGATGGATGTGTTCGTGCCGAGACCCCAGAATGCGCGGAAGGGATCACTGGCGTCGCCTGGGATTACTGGGGAGAAGAACGATGCGGCGGTCACGGAGTCGGCGAATAGCACAAGCTGGGTATTAGAGTCATGAATGGCGATAATACCAGGCTCGACGTCTGCTCTGACCGTCACTACCGAATCTTCACCAGACGTGGTGGTTATGTGGAAACCGGACGGGAGATCGTCATCGCTGTCTCCGAGGGACGTCCCAGTAAGCTGGAGGGAGAATTCGTGGGATTGGTCTGTGTCGCCGAAGAAGAGGATAACATCCCGCTCGTCGATAACACTGGCATAGTAGATCGATGCCGTAGAATACAAAACGTGAGATGAAGAGCCGAAGGTGTAGTCTGTCACAATGACCTTGGACTGGCGCCCATTCAACGACAAGCCTTTGAGCTCGACGTCGCCTTGGGAAGTAGACACCGATAAGTCAAAGTCCGTTGAAGCTCTGAACAATCAATGAGCAATAGCTTACAAGGGGCGATATGGGACGTACGTGGTGGTAGAGTCGTTGTGTCGAAGTATATAGAACCCAGCCCCGGAATCTGGGTTGCGCAAATACGTTGCAAATATAGCGGCATCGGAGGCGACAGAAATCCCATTCGCGCTATCCGCTATCCAGTCCGTTTTGTAGAACTCGGGAGAGCTTCGAATAAAGAACCCTTGACGCTTGAGCTCGTCATATTTTGAGCCAAGCGCGCGGCCTTCGGATATCTGTCGACGTGTTGTCAGATGCCAAAGTGATCTTCAAAGCGAGGCTTACTGTGGCACCGTAATCGTAGGACGTATAAACCTGGCGACGCCTCGAATGAGATACCTCTATGGATAACACTAACAACGTGCTCACCCCTCTGGAATCAAGATGGTAAGCAAGAGGCGCTTAGGACGCGAGCAGAGTACTTACGGGAATGGAATCGCGCCCCAAGACGTTCCTCTATCGAAACTGTTTAGCATGAAAGGCAAGGGGGTGGATCATCGCAATTACCCATAAATCATATAGTAGTTGACGAGTTTCGCGTTCGCTGCCCACAACTGCCTGTAGAACACCGACATGAAATCAGCGCCTGTCAGAATCCCACAATTCGCATAGCCTGAAAAAACGGTCATATACACCATAAGCAAGCAAATGACGAATCGCATACCCGGAGCGTTAGGTCCCCAAGGATCAAAAGCGCCACCTTGAAACTCAGGAAAGTAGTACGGCTGAGCCGGATTCACGCGCTCATGATACTCATGGTAATTCGTTGTGACATTTTTCCATACCGTCGGCCGTGAGCAGTCGAAGCTCTGGGGATATGAGTCGAGGCTGTATGTACTCAGTATTCCTGATGTCACGCTATGGATAGATACGAACCCATAAAGATCCACGGCTCCCTAATGCATGGAACGATCAGTCAAAATCCATGGTTTATAATAAGCAGGCTTACCGTTCCGTTAATGAAATTAGAGCCTTGATTGGGGTCATTATACGTTAGGGGAACAACAATGGCGGAGGCATGATAGACGTCTTCGAGGTCTTGAAAGTAAGTATCACCGATGGACTGAGAAAATTCGTTATCTACAAGAGGCATTAGCAGAACAAGTGGCATGAGCATGATGGAAAATAGTTGCCGATTTGAATCGCTGGTACAGCCATACTATGTCAATGCGCTTATATAGTTAAGAGAGATGCAACAAACCAATGACAGGCCCGCCTTCCGTGATCTGATACGGCACTGTTTCCTCAATGAAGCCAAGGATGTAATCCTGCCACGCTTCTCTCCAATCCGAGTCGTTGCTCCGGAGACGACCAGCAACCTCAGTGGTTGCCCAATGCGCGATGCCGCCTGCCGATGTCTCGGCGTTGATATACTGCAAAGGACACACGTCAAGACACGTCCTCATACGTCGCTGCAAGACATACCGGACCTACACGGAGCCATTAGCATGTTAGCCTTACAACGCGAAGGGAATTTGAACGCACCAGGACGCATCACAAGCCAGATTCCCGCTTCCGAGGCGGCTTCATACAGCGTTTTCAGGGAACGGTAGCCGTCAACGTCGACTACACCTCTGGACGGGTTTATCAGGCCCATATGCGTGTAGACGCTGACCGCGTTCAGACCAGCGGCTTTGACTTTTTGGAAAATGTCCGGCCAGAGGTCTGGAACCGGTAGACGGAAGGTGTGGAATTCGCCTGAGCTGAGTAGATTGAGACCTCAATGAGAGCTGGAGGTCGATGAGGCGACGTACTAGATAAACGTGCGCTGCCCACGCAAGAAGATGCTGTAGTTATCGAAAGACACTTCATCCGTAAACGAAACTGCGCGCGACATGAAGCTGTCTGTTGTAAAGCCGGGAACGGTAGACTTTGCGAGCCCCCCGAATGAGATCGTCGAGAAAGCGAGAGTTAGAAGGAGGGCGAAGCATCGAAGAAACCTTCCGCTTGCAGACTGAGGAGGCATTGCGAAGAGTATCATAGAACCCATCGTGTCGTCGACGCTTTATAAGACTTCATGGCGCGCCGTCCGTGACGCATCTCATGACCGTTAGTTACCATATATTGACGAGGATTCGCAACTAGAACGATATTCTACGGGCCGAGGGGTGTGGGTAGAGAAGGATACGCGTCAAGTGAGCGCGTCGGATAAATTTCGCTCACTAGAACAATACGTGAGCTGGCCTTCCAGACGCCATGGAATGACTTACTCGTCAAAAAATAGCGGTTCACATCCTGTCGATATTGTGATTGGGAGCATAGCCAATACAAGAAGAGATAAAACTGTCTCGAACTCTCATACGTATCTCAATGATGAGATCGGCGCTGTATCAAATCGAATAACGAGGAAATGCAGCGAGCTTTTGAGCGTGAAGAAAGTCCAAACTTAGTCCAAAGCAACTGAGAAACACAGCCACACGGAGCATGCGGATGAAAACGTAGGATGATCTTATCTACCAACTCCTGATTTAGGACTTCCATCCGATTGGACGAAGACAGACAATAAGGATTGTGGCAGGTCGACCACATAAAGCAGGACGTCCATGGCAAGAACGTGTCTCCTCTCTGCTCCCACCTTCCGCTCTCCCATTACCCCCCAACTCGACCCCCACCCCAAATTCCATCCTCTCCACCGCGTTGCATGTTTTCTGATGTTCCGTTAATGTGCTTCCCAGGCCGCCTGGAAGG